GGAGTGCTCTCTCTCTTTCTGGTGAACACATATGCCCTCTGGCAATTTCTTTTTTTAAGTATAAATGATTCAAAGATGATTTCCTAAAATTATGTAATAGTCACTAGAGAAAATCAGGCAGTAATGACAAAATCATATAAGACATTTTAGTAATCAGGAGCTTGAGATAGCAACTTATTGTTGATTTAACACTTTGAATTAACATCAGAAAGATTTATTTGCATTGTCACACCATATGAAGTGAAAGATGTTTCCAGTCAAGAGAAGATGGTCTGGGAAATACCCTGAGTCTGGATGACACAAGCATCTATCATATGTTTATGTATGTCTACATATGTATGCTATGTATGTGTAATATTTTCTTACTTCTCAATGGTATTACCAAATTCATTTATAAAAATCCCTTAAATAAGTTTTATTCAAATTGGCTTAGAAATAAGTGAGTGCTTACATGAATTAAATATGCTTTGAACTCCAGATAAACACTTTTCAAGGTAACAAGACTTGGGTAAATATTTGATAAATAAGATTAGTTTAGGGATCAGAGAGTGATGCATCCCTAAAATGAGATGCTCTGTAAGGCAATCCCATGTGTTCCCTGTTCAAGTCCAGAATGCACAGAGCTCCCTAAAGGGGTGGATTGTGGTGTCAGGACTGTGGTGGGGGTTTTCTCTCTCTCTCTCCCATTCATGGAAGAAATAAACAAACTTTAAAAAAGGTTAGTTTGGAAGTTGGCCACATGGCCAACCGTGGTTCAAGTGTTGAACATGGCTTGCTTTCTTACTTACTTTCCCTCTCTCTCTCTTTTGCTCTGTCTCTCTCTGGTCAAATTAAAACATACACACATACATACATACATAAGTTATATAACTCTTAAAAAAGATTCTTTTAATATTTCTAGTTTAGTAAGAAATTGATAGGTCTTTTGAATAATCAGCATTAAGTATAATACAAACATACATTTTTTTACTCTGATTGGATTTACTATTCAAGTAAACTAATAATTTGTGTTAGTCCATTCCATGGCCAATAACAGGAAATGTCTGAAACCGAGTGATTAATTTAGCTTGTGGTTTGGAGGTTTAGGGTCCAGGGCCCTTTACTGATGAAGTTATTCTGGCTACTTCACAACATAGCAGCAGGCAGGACAGTGTGGCCTGTGTTCCCTGTCTCTCTCAGTCCCCTCATTATAAAGCCATCAGGAGTCAAGTATGGAGACTCTGCTCTGATGGCCTTCACCTTAATCTTTTCCCCACTTTTATTATTATTATTTTTTTTTTTTGAGAGAGAGCTTTTTGCTATAGGGTGCATGTGCTCGCTGGAGAGACAGAAACAGACAGAAAGCAACAAATTACCCTACCACCACCCCCA